ATTCCCTTTTGTACGATTGTTTGGTATATTAAGATTGAGTTATAAAATGTGAAAATTCTATCATTAGATCAAAATCTATTCTGGGTGGTCAGTCTTTTTTTTGTACCCTATACATCGAGTATAAATCTATACATCTGTGAACAAAATGTTCTTAAATTCACTCCAAAGATATGATGAAAAAAACTGTGGGTCTAGGTTTTGAATCCACCCATCTGTAGAGCGGGTACCAGCTTGTCAGGGAAATAACGGCGGTAGGTGCACAATGCTGATTTTACTTTCACCATCACTCCTCGTTAGTCATAAATCGTGGAGTCTTAATATCGATGACCTTCTAGCTCACAATAGACTGTTGGGCGAATTTTTTCTGCATATAAATATTTTAAATAAAGTTCTCTTTGCGCGAGTATTTTATTGCTATTCCATAATTAGGTTTGCAATAAGGTAAAATGAACGAGAGAAGGCCACACATTTTAAAGGAACCGCAACGCATAGGACCCCTAAAGCCAAATTCGAGAAGATAAAAAAAAAATATGTAAAATAATATTGAAGAGTCAATTTTAAACTCCAGATTCAAATTTTATTTATTTTTTTAATGAGATTGTTCGAATGAAAAGTTTCTAAAAAAGAACTATTACTTATACTTGTGTCGAGAAACCTTTCAAAGAAAGTTTTCGTATTGTACTTTCGCAGACTTTAAAAAAACAATCCAAAATCATGGTCTTATGCTCGTTTATTTGCTTTCCTTTAAATGAGGCCCTTTGCAAAATATTTTCTTATTATTTACTAATATTTTCGCTGAAAAGGTTAATATTTGCTTTATTTCGTTTCCTTTGAAAAAGGTTTTCGCTTAATATTTCTGCTAACCTAATCATGACAGCAAACAAAAATACAAAAAATAAGGCTTACAATTTGCTTGTTTTTTAACCTAAATAACAATATTTTTAAAAAAAGATTAAAAAATCATTTAGTTTTCCTTTAAGGAGGAAAGGTTGGAAATTGCAATATTTTTACGTCATTGAAAAAAGGTTTTAACCACAAACCTTTTCGAGACAATGAAAAGAAAGTTAAAGCTCAAGGTTGTCGTAAGGTTACATGCCTTCTGGGTGAATTTTTATCTTTTAAATTTGAGCTTGGTTTAATCTTCTAACTATGACTAGTTTTAAATGGAATTCTAGTGATATATGTATTTTTTTTTAGAAATTTTTCAAACGTATCCCCGCCTCTGGGACATAAATAACAAAGATTAAGCGAATAAACTAATTCCCTATAAACTAATTTGCTCTGTGGAGATATTAAAAGTTACAAATTATTATTGAATTTTAAAAGTGAATGAAAAAGAAACTAGCATATTACTAATTACAAATGTTTAAATATTTGAAAATTCAAAATTATATAGCTTGAACGCTAAGCTTTTTAAACTCATTTTGACAGATTTTGATAGATATCTCTTTGACAGATATTTCCGAGTACTAATGAAATTTTGAAAGCAAACGAAAGAAATTATTTTGCTTTTAAATCCCCTTTTTTCTGTTCTAGTTCTTCTTTCAGAACCTCAGCTATCAGCTCAACGCCTACTTCAAGTACATCGTCAGTAATCGCTTCCCTGATAATTAAAAGAGCTTTCAGCAATAAACTTTATTGAAAAATATAAGTTCTGGTATTGGACTGTTATATACTATAATAGTCCAATACCAGTGCCGTTCTGGTATTGAACTGTTCAGAGTTGGTTGAACAAGCGAAGGTTGTAACGTGTGATCACAAACGAGAAACCAAAAACCGGTTTCTTAACTTAGTTGCCTCCACTTCTAGTGTCATCGGCACTTTATTTGCAATTTTAAATTGGAGCTCGAAATGGGCTGCAGATGGCGTAGAGCAGAACTCTCTACCTATGGCAGCACTTCGCATGCTTTCCCCAATAGCGTGTGGAGAGTCATAGAGGAAGGAAGTACGTTAGTTTCTCTCTTGATTTTCATATAGATTAAAATCTTTTAAATTGGAAAACTATATGGAACTGAAAACTACATTAAACATAGTTCTAAAGAAAAGCTTCACGGAAATTTTAAAAAAATATTTTTATTAAATAAAAAGGTAAAATATTAAGAAAAGGGAAAATATCGTAGTACATTCCTATACAACTGAAAAGAGGAGGAGAGGGAAGGGAGAAGGGCAAAGGCATGAAACTGGTCTCTCCCCAGATGGCGTATTCGAGCGTTGCGATCTCCAATGCTTTATTTGCGAATTTTTTTCTCATTTTTTTTTTCTTTACGGTAAATTTTCCATGATGCTTTCTTTTAGAACAGCGTTTCTTAACCTTTTTGATACAATGGACCCCTTTTAAAATTTTTTAAGAAGTCACGAACCACCCCCCTGAGAAAAAAAATTGCAAAAAACATCAATTTTTAGTATTCAATTTATTTCAGCATTTAATTTTATTATTTCAATAGTATACAAAATATTTAAAATTAAAATTTTTAGTCTGAAGGTTGTTGCTGCTTTCCCTTAATTAATAAATTGAATAGAGGGATGGTTTTCGACAAAGCAACGCGCATAACATGTTCAACATTCAATCGATAACGATGCTTTGTGTTTATTGTCACAACCATGGAAAGTCCGGCTTCGTTAAGATACACTGCAGCTAACGGAATTATAGCTGAAATAGCTCGCTTTTACAAGCAATGGGTAGGCTTCTTTCACAGAAGACCAGGGCTCTCCGAGTGCTTTTGAATCGAAATCCATTTTTAGCAAGGACTTTGTTCTAAGATCTATAAGCTCATCTTTGGCAAAGTTCATATCATCGTTACAGTCAATATCACAAAGAAAAGGATGACGAATCCACAACTCATCTTTTATCTTTATCTCATCCAATTTAAAATATTTTTTTCAATGAAACTTGAAGTACTTCCAGGTGCTCACAGATTTAATTTTTTAAGTTATTCAGTAACAAATTATCTTGCCAAGATCCATTTTCAGAAAGCACTTCGTCCAACATTTAAAAGTTTGCATATATCTCATTTTGAATTCTATTTTTTTCAAAGTGTCATCTTCAATTAGAATGCTTGTAATTTCTCAGTTGCATCCATAATGGTATATCGGGTCCTTGGATTAAAAGACTTTTATATTATTCATGCGGTTAAAATTATCTGCCAGGTAAGCCAATTTATAGGTAAAATCCTTTTTGATTAAATATTCGAAGAATGAGTTATCTTTTTCTTCTAGAACAAGTGATAATTCGATCTTCAACATGAAAAGTTGTTTCAAAACCTGCCCTCGTGAAAGCCAGCGCAATTCCGTGTGGTGCAGAAGTACCTCATGCTCTACGTCCATTTCTTGACACAGCGTTTTAAAGAGACGATGATTAAGAGCTCTACGTCTAATAAAATTTACAGTTTTAATAACTTTTGATAATGCTTCTTTTAAGCTGGTAGGAAGAGTTTTTGTAGCCAGCTCATGTTTATGTGAAAAACAATGAGTAACAAGAACATTAGGAGACTTTTTTTTTGCCAACAGGGCAGAACCAGATTTATTGCAAAGCATCACAGGTGCTCCATCTGTACGAAGTGAATGAAGTTTTTCCTTCCAGCCGAAGTCTTGTTTGGTAAAGGAAACATTTAACATTGCTAAAACATCAGCTGTCTTTGTAGTTTGCAAAAGAGACTCACAAAATAAGAATTTTTCTATGATAGTATCAAGAGGCACGTAACGAACAAAAACAAGAGGTTGACTATAATTCGTGATATCTGTAGTTTCACCCAGTTGCATACTAAAGGGAAATGGCGGTACTTTCAACTCATTGATGATCTTTTTCAAGATATTGCAAGAAATTTCAACTATTCTTGAATGTGTCACATCATTTGAAAATGGAATTGCCTCAAGTTTTTTTTCTCTGTTCCAATCTACAAACTAATTCAACCATCTCCAGCGCACATGGCTTAATTAACGTCTCTCCAATAGTATGCGGTTTCTTGCTTTTAGCAATATGATATGCAACTTTGAGAGATGCCTCAACCAGAGGTTTTTGCGGAATACCAAATCCAAGTTTGTCTAATGTTCCAGATTTCAAAAACTAGGCTTTCTTCTTAGTAAAAAATTCCAGATCTAGTAACCTGAACCAGGTGTCAAATGTACGTAGCTTCATAGGGGATAATAAAAATAGTACAGCGGACGTCATCTGGGGGTTGCCCCTGATGGTGCAAACTGAAAGCCGGTTAGTGGAGGATGTTAAAAATATGACAGGGATATTAGAGGGCTGTGTGCAGTCCGTAAAGAATTTGGGATATCTCGATCACCTAGTTTCAAATATGTATGTATTTTCACCTTTTAGAAAGAAGAAAAGATCAATGCTATTTAAATATTATTGATCCAAACGTTTTAAAAATTAGGAGTAGTCGGTGGACCCCCAAAATATGACCCATGGACCCCTAAGGGGTCCATGAACCACAGGTTAAGAAACCCTGTTTTAAAACAATGTTGAATGTAGAGTATTGCCATATCGAGTATTGCCATAGGTAGAGAGTTCTGATCTACGCCACCTGCAGCCCATTTCGATCGCCAATAGCATGATTTGGTCACTTTGAAATTTAATCACTCATGTGAAACAGTTTCAATAACGCAAGTTTTCTTTTGATTACGATAACATTGCTACTATCAATAACTTTACTTCTCATTTATGTTAATCGATTAAAGAGAAAATACGATACGATATAAGAAATAAGAAACGATACGATTTTGACTTAAAAAATTTCGTGAAAATTTATTCGGCAAGTTTTGTTTTCTGTATTTGCATTACAAGCAATGAATGAAAGTAATGTCGCAATCCAATTGCCAATTGTTTGGAATTAATGTCTGATGGCATTCAATAAGTATGTGAGCGACAATCCTCTTATACTCAGAGTTTGTTTCCGCTGAAAGAGTTAGTTCCTATCAGCTGCATTTTGAGTTTCCTGGCAAGATTCCTTTAGCAACAGGTGTCTACGATCGTAATGTCGCAAAACACAAGAGAAAACAATGTCAGCGCGCTCGGATATGAGCATACTCTTGTAAGTTTTTCTACTTTAAGTTTTAAAATTTAAATTGGTAGGCTAAAACTAATTATACTGTGCTAACATTTTTGTTTCTGTTTTAATAATCCCCTTCTCAACAATGTCTATATTTATATCAATATTGGGTTATAAAATTTATATAGAAATTTAATATTTGATTAAATTTTTATTAATTATATAAATTATTGCAGGCAAATCGTTGATTTTAATTGTTGTCACACATTTGTTGGTCAGATAAGTTTCTATAATATTTTTTTTGTTCTTAAATTGATCCATAAATGTTTTACATCTTTCAAAATAAAGTTCCTGATAAACTTATTTTTTGTTTTACTAACATCTACAGTTATTTTTTTCTGAAATGACATAAAATTATAAGCAGTTTCATAATTGCTAGTTATAATTCATTTTTAAATTATTTGATTATTTATGTATGCTTTGTCTGTTTTATTACTGTCCTAAATTATATTAATTTTTTTAGCAGAAGCATCATACATTTTACATTTTTCTTACTCTATGAAAAAATATATATTTAATTTTTCTTTTTTTACAAGTTTAACTACAATCTAAAATCTTTACTTTGATATGGAAAATGTTAAACCAATGTTTTATAATTTGTTAAATAAAAGGATTTTTAGATCTTGATGCATTTAAATAAATTATCGTGAAAATGATATTGTTCGTTTTTCATTGGTGGAGTGGTAAAGAGAATGAAAAATATCAAGTCAAGCAAACATTTAATTTTGAATAGTTTTGTGTTCTTATAGGTTACAATTATTTCTGTGCATTGTTTTTGATTAGATTCTCTAAAAATATATAGAAAATCATTATTTTTCTATGCATTATTTCACTGACTTCATTTGTCTAAAACAACAAACAATATTCATAAGTATATTTAGTGAGTGATTGTTGGACTGTTTTAACTTGTTATAAAAATGTTAGAAAATTAGATACTATTTTTTATATTCACAAATTTGTATAATGTATTTGTAATTTGTTTATCTTAGTCATAAAATAAGCAAATTAATGACTGTAAGAAATTAAAAGTTTTGTTGCCGATATAAGTGGGGTAAAAAAAATAATAAAATACTTCAGACATAAAATTATATCACTGTTAAAAGTTTTTAAATTTTGATATGAAAATAAAATTTTTGATTGTCTTGTAAAATGTTATATTGGATGATAGCTAGAATGATTTAAATGATGGCTTTATTTAAGCTAAAGAATAGGAGGCTATCAACAAGACTGTCTTACTCAGCGATTTAAATTGTAGTCCTATATTGTCAAAAAAAGAAACATTATTTAGATGTAGAAGAAATTTTACAGTTTATGGTTATGAAATAGCATTACCTTTTTAGCATACCTTTATCAATTTCTTGATGAAGTTGAATAACAAGGGTAATGTAACATTTTATTTCAGAAATCTTTTCAATAAATGAATGATATGAATCATATATAAGCTTCAAACATTAATTATGTAAATGATTTATAAATGAAACATTTAAAAATCATTGATTGAGAATTGCCTTATGCTGAAAAATAAGGGTTTTCATTGTGCTCTTTGTAAATAAAGTATTACAGTCAATTCGCCATAACTCGAAGTACGATAACTCGAATATTACTATAACTCAATTTTTTTATGAGGTCCCGACCCTTTTATCTTCACTTTCATGTTAATTATTCTCGATCACTCGAATTTTACTCTCTTTAACTCAATTTTTTTTAAGCAAGAAAAAAAACCTAGGAGCTGATATCTTGCACCTTCCTTTGCAACACACAATGTCTTTCGCACTCTTCATGGAGAAGCTAAGGCTCTCTCCCTCTTGAAGTATTCGAACAGTGGTTAAATGAAACGTTACCAAATTTACTTCAAGGATGCAGTTAAAATGATGTTTTCATTATTGATGAAATGGGTTTATTTTTTAAATGTTTTCCAAATAAGACTATGATGTTTAAGGATGAAAACTGCTCAGGGGGTAAAATGAGCAAGGAACTTTTCACTGTCCTAGTTGGAGGAAATGCGTCAGGGACAGAGAAATTGCCCTTACTTGTTATCGGAAAATACCGAAATCCCCGATGTTTCAAGAATGTAAAAACGTATCCTTTGGATTACAAGTCTAACTAAAAGTTTTGGATGACATCAGTTTTATTTGAAGACTATGTAAGAAAATTGGATCGGAAATTCTTCGCTGAAAAAAGAAAAGTGATACTCTTTATGGATAAATGCACAGCGCATAGTGATCTACCTAATTTGAAAGCCGTAAACTTGCAGTTTCTTCCGCCAAACACAACAGTTAAGTTGCAGCCGATGGACCAGGGTATCATAAAGTGCTTCAAACAGTCTTATCGTAAATGGCTTGTCAGAAAAATGATCTTAAATATTGTAAGCATTTAGAAGATTTGTTATTATTAGTTATTCGTTAGATTATTAATAAGCATTAATTAAATAATCCGACAATATTTTTAAAGTCCAAAAGCGAAACTAGCGGTAAGTCGAACTTCCGATATGTCGACGTTTCTCGTCAGTCCTATCAGATTCGAGTTATCGCGAATTCACTGTATTTATAAATGAAACATTTATAAATAGCACTTTATTTATAAATAAAACACAATGAAAATTTTAATTTTATTTTTTCAAAACAATTTCAACTGTTTAAAAATAGCTTAATGTTAGACTAATAACACACTAATCGTTTTAAACTGATAAAATACTTATAAATGGTTAGACAGTTAATAAAATATTGAATTATCGTATTATTATTTTTTTTAGCACAAGCGTATTATGTCTTCTATTTAATGTTTACTTTAAAAATTATAATTTTTATGTCTTTTTAATATTAGTTATTCTTACATTATTTTTATAAACTATAAATATTTAATCTTCATGTTGTAAAGTATAATCTAGAATGTAACTCGTTTCATTAATCTTGTTCGCTTATTCTGGTAATGTTAATTACATTTAGCGTAATTTTGACTATAGTGAAGCTTCTTGGTAGATAAATTCTTTTATAAAATTAATGCTCTCTTTCAATATTATTCTTTTAAGTTTGATCTCTTAAAACTAAATTAAAAAAAACTTCATTAGAAAATTTATCAAACCAATTTTAAATATTTTATTAAATTTTATATTTAAATCCTTTATCTTTCTTCATACATATGCAAAAGCTCTCTCCCCAAAAGCCTTTGTTTATTAAGAATTTTTAAATCAGTGTCAAGGGAAAATCAAACTCTACTTCTGTAAAAATTGAATAAACTTTACAGCAACCATAAACATGAAAATATCTGAATGGCTAAATTTTTTTTTTTTATACTTTGAACCATTACTAAATGTTGACAATAATGAGAAGTCAAGGACAGTTTTAATTTTATTTAACTTGAGGAGAAAACTCAAATTTTGAAGAACTAAAAGTATATACACATATTTTATGAAATTGTCACTTATCATATTTTTAGAATTACTCTAATCATTTGATTATTTATATCTAGTGTACTTTGTTCAGGGTAAGGCATGATTTTTGCTTCAAGCAATAAAATCTTTCATTCTTATCCCCACGATAAGTGACAGATTTTTGTTTAACCAAAGGAGCATTTTATTTTATAGAATATAATATGCTTTAAAAATATTAATACTTTATTTATTTTTGATGTGTTTTATATATTTTTTTCTGATGTGTTGAATAGTTAAGGTTATTGTGACGTAAGTAAAAATAATTGGACATTTACTAAATTTTCATGATGTTTAATCAAAAATATTCTAAAGTTCGCATTAAAACGAATTGCTGGGATAAACTCTATATATTTACTAAATTCTATGAAGTTTCATTGTTTTTTAGTTTTTGATCACAACTTTATATCATAATTTTATTTTCTTTTGTTAAATAATAAGAAGCTAATAAATTTATAATTTCACCTTCTACCTATTGCATTGACTAATGTTTGTTTAAAATTCTCTGAATATCTGTAACTAAAATCTTAAAAAGATTGATAAACTAATAGCCTTTGACTGAGTGCTTTAAAACATTTTATTTTTTCTATTGATTTTATTTTATAAAAAAATTTAATTTATATTATTTTTTACTCTCTGGTTGAGTTATAATTTTGACAAATGTTTCATTCTAATGCTTTCACTGACAGTTGATCCATATAACGGATGAGCTGTTTCTTAGTGTTTAAATCCAAAGCACATAATTTTGAACCTGACTCTGAAAATAAGGGAACTCTCATCCACAAGGGATTTGGGTTTAAAAAGTGACCAATTTTGTGCTTTTCTGGCTTACAACAACATTTTATTACATTTATTTACATGTACATTTCTGTGAAAAATTGTAAATAACAATGGAGCTGAATGACATATTAAAAATAAGATGAGGGAGGAGCTAAGCTCTGTATATTTCGAGATCATCGGTAACATGGAAAATAGATGAGGATAGATAGCAAATGATATGCAGGAGTTTACAAGTTTAATCCATCAACCCTTCAAAAAGTATATTTGAGTGAAACTAACAATCGCTAAACAGTTTTTGCAATACATAGCTAGAAAAACTATGAAAACATCCTAAGTTGTCTTGCCAGTAATAAGATTTTAACTTATTCTTTCATAATACAATTCTATGGTGTTGCTCATAAAATATGAACGTAAATTTCTTAGAAAACTCTCTCATAAAATTTATGTTGAGTTTAAATTCATAAAATTTTTATATCAAATATGTAGTACATCATAACCTTTCAAAAAAGAATTTGTTTTATAAAAACTGATTATAATAAGTTCGAATTAAATGGACTGAATTGCTTGTTAAGGGCATAAATCACACAAAATCAAAAAATGATTACTAATTTACAAATTGTCTAAACTCTTTGAATTTGTTATGTAAACTTAATTTCAAAACTGGCATTTTAATAAAGAATTCTATGCAGTTCTTAACTTGTTAAATATGATGTATAATTAATTTGTAGTTTTTTACTTTGGTGTCAGATGTAAATTCTTCAGGTTGGATATAAAT